GTTTGGAAATATTTACTATTAGACCATAGACCAGACCAGATGTATAGCTATATAATTTCATAATTATAGATCATAAATTAGTCCATAAACTAGATCAAAGACTAGTCTTTGGACTCGATCATCAACTATTCTATAGACTAGATCATCGACTAGTCTATGGACTAGATGATCGACCAGTCCATATATTAAATCATTGACTAGTCTATAAACTAGATCATCGACTAGTCTATAGACTAGATCATCGACTAGTCTATAGACTAGATCATCGACTAGTTTATAGACTAGATCATCGACTGAACTAAAGAGTTGATCATCGACTAGACTATAGAGTTGATCATCGACTAGACTATAGACTAGATAATCGACTGGTCTATAGACTAGATCGTCGTTTTGTCTATAGACTAGATCATCGACTAGTCTATAGACTAGATCATCGACTAGTCTATAGACTAGATCATCGACTAGTTTATAGACTAGATCATCGACTAGTCTATAGACTAGATCATCGACTAGTCTATAGACTAGATCATCGACTAGTTTATAGACTAGATCATCGACTAGTCTATAGACTAGATCATCGACTAGTCTATAGACTAGATCATCGACTAGTCTATAGACTTGATCATTGCCTAGTCTATAGACTTGATCATTGCCTAGTCTACAGACTAGATCATTGTCTAGCCTATAGACTAGATCATTGTCTAGCCTATAGACTAGATCATTGTCTAGCCTATAGACTAGATCATTGTCTAGCCTATAGACTAGATCATTGTCTAGCCTATAGAGTAGATAATTGTCTAGTCTATAGACTAGATCATTGTCAAGCCTATAGACTAGATCATTGTCTAGCCCATAGAATAGATCATTGTCAAGCCTATAGAATAGATCATTGTCAAGCCTATAGACTAGATCATTGCCTATATACTATATCACCGTCTAGTCTATAGACTAGATAATCTACTAGTCTATAGACTAGATCATTGAATAGTCGATTGACTTGATCATCGTCTAGTCTATAGACTAGATCATCGTCTAGTCTATAGACTAGATCATCGTCTAGTCTATAGACTAGATCATCGTCTAGTCTATAGACTAGATCATTGTCTAGCCTATAGACTAGATCATTGTCTAGCCTATAGACTAGATCATTGTCTAGCCTATAGACTAGATCATTGTCTGGCCTATAGACTAGATCATTGTCTGGCCTATAGACTAGATCATTGTCAAGCCTATAGACTAGATCATTGTCTAGCCTATAGAATAGATCATTGTCAAGCCTATAGAATAGATCATTGTCAAGGTTATAGACTAGATCATTGCCTATATACTATATCACCGTCTAGTTATAGACTAGATAATCTACTAGTCTATAGACTAGATCATCAACTAGTCTATAGACTAGATCATCGAATAGTCGATTGACTTGATCATCGTCTAGTCTATAGACTAGATCATCGACTAGTCTATAGACTAGATCATCGACTAGTCTATAGACTAGATCATCGACTAGTCTATAGACTAGATCATCGACTAGTCTATAGACTAGATCATCGACTAGTCTATAGACTTGATCATTGCCTAGTCTACAGACTAGATCATTGTCTAGCCTATAGACTAGATCATCGACTAGTCTATAGACTAGATCATCGACTAGTTTATAGACTAGATCATCGACTAGTCTATAGACTAGATCATCGACTAGTCTATAGACTAGATCATCGACTAGTCTATAGACTAGATCATCGACTAGTCTATAGACTTGATCATTGCCTAGTCTACAGACTAGATCATTGTCTAGCCTATAGACTAGATCATTGTCTAGCCTATAGACTAGATCATTGTCTAGCCTATAGACTAGATCATTGTCTAGCCTATAGACTAGATCATTGTCTAGCCTATAGACTAGATAATTGTCTAGTCTATAGACTAGATCATTGTCAAGCCTATAGACTAGATCATTGTCTAGCCCATAGAATAGATCATTGTCAAGCCTATAGAATAGATCAGTGTCAAGCCTATAGACTAGATCATTGCCTATATACTATATCACCGTCTAGTCTATAGCCTAGATAATCTACTAGTCTATAGACTAGATCATTGAATAGTCGATTGACTTGATCATCGTCTAGTCTATAGACTAGATCATCGTCTAGTCTATAGACTAGATCATCGTCTAGTCTATAGACTAGATCATTGTCTAGCCTATAGACTAGATCATTGTCTAGCCTATAGACTAGATCATTGTCTGGCCTATAGACTAGATCATTGTCTGGCCTATAGACTAGATCATTGTCAAGCCTATAGACTAGATCATTGTCTAGCCTATAGAATAGATCATTGTCAAGCCTATAGAATAGATCATTGTCAAGCTTATAGACTAGATCATTGCCTATATACTATATCACCGTCTAGTTATAGACTAGTCTATAGACTAGATCATCAACTAGTCTATAGACTAGATCATCGAATAGTCGATTGACTTGATCATCGTCTAGTCTATAGACTAGATCATCGTCTAGCCTATAGACTAGATCATTGTCTAGCCTATAGACTAGATCATTGTCTGGCCTATAGACTAGATCATTGTCTGGCCTATAGACTAGATCATTGTCTGGCCTATAGACTAGATAGACAAGATCATCGTCTAGTCTATAGACTAGATCATCGTCTAGTCTATAGACTTGATCATCGACTAGTCTACAGACTAGATCATTGCCTAGCCTATAGACTAGATCATTGTCTAGCCTATATACCAGATCATTTTCTAGCCTATAGACTAGATCATTGTCTAGCCTATAGACGAGATCATTGTCTAGCCTATAGTCTAGATAGACTAGATCATCGTCTACTCTATAGACTAGATCATCGTCTAGTCTATAGACTTGATCATCGACTAGTCTACAGACTAGATCATGGTCTAGCATATAGACTAGATCATCGTCTAGTCTATAGACTAGATCATTGTCTAGCGCATAGACTAGATCATTGTCTAGTCCATAGACTAGATCATTGTTTAGTCTATAGACTAGATCATCGACTAGTCTTTAGACTAGATCATCGTCTAGTCTACGGAGCAGGCCATCGTCTTGTCTATGGTCTATAGACTTCATCATTGATTAGTCTATAGACGAGATCATCGTTTAAGAATTCAACGTGAATATTTCCAATATTTATTTTATGTTTTTTTGTAGCTAATTGGTTTATTATTGCAATTACTTTTAATTTGCCAAAATTGTATTGAGCTTTTCGCAAATATATTTAATAAATTATAAAAAAAACTATAAAGTAAGAAAAATATATAAAATTTTCCCGAAAAAATTTGTTTACAGTTAATGATCAAAATTCTCAATTTTATCGTGAGAGCGATCTTATATGAAATTGTTTAAGATTTTGTTACTTAAAAAACAGGAGACAAACTAATTTATATAGTTATCAAGTCTTTACTTAAATAGATCAGTGAGTGAATTTTCAGAAGAAATATATCGTCGATTCGGAGAGATCAGTATCCTATGATCTTAACTAAAGAGAATTGTAATGGGTTTGGGATCAGTAATTGCAGCGATCATTGTATGAAATGAACATGATAAATTTTTTTGTTCGGAATCATTTCTAAACAATCGTTATTTAAGTTACGAACTAAAAATTGGTTCAGATGGTAGTTAAATTGAATCTGGATCGCGTTTTCGCCGATTAGATCTTAACTCCCTAATAATTCGAGTTTTACTTTGAAAATTTTTAAATTGTAACGAGTTGATTAAGAATAGCAATCATTCAAAAAAGTTATAGATTTTATATAAAAAATATCCCCTTTTTATCCCATCATTAGTACCGCCCAAAGTTGTACCTTTTGATTTTGGCGATGAGCCCACAAATTTTGAGGATTCTGTATCGGTAAATTGTTTAATATCGTCGGGAGATATGCCAGTCAATATAACATGGCTGCATAATAACGTAACCATGCAACCTTTCGGTACCGGTATAACTATATTGAAAAGTGGCAAAAGGGCCAGTGTTTTAACCATAGATGCAGTACATGCGGGACATGTGGGAGAATACACTTGTTTGGCAGAGAATAGAGCGGGCAAAGCTAATCATACAGCGGAATTACATGTCAATGGTGGACAATTAGAGATTTTTGTTTAGATATAAGTTTTATATCTTATAAAAATTATGATTTTTAATTTGATTTTACTTTTTTTTTCATCCTTACAAAAGTTCCCCCCAAAATAACACCTTTTGATTTTGGTGATGAACCCGCCAATTTTGGTGATTCGGTGACAGTACAATGTACTATATCTAAGGGTGATTTACCGGTCGATATTAATTGGCTGTTTAATGGTTATGCCTTAAATGATTATCTAGGAGCTACTACATCGAAAATAGGCAAAAAAGTCAGTGTCTTAACCATAGATACGGTGAATGGTCATAATGCGGGCAATTATACTTGTATAGCCCGCAATACGGCCCAGACCACAGAGTATACCGCGGAATTAGTAGTTAATGGTTAATAAAATAATATTTATAAATTTTAGTAATTTCAAATTTTAAGTTGTTTTTATTATATTTGTTTTAAAATTCCATCATTCCAAATTTCTAGTACCTCCCAAAATCTCACCCTTTTCAACGGGTAATCCAGAGGCTGTTCATTTGGGACAATATATTACCTATCAGTGTACCATAACCGAGGGTGATTTACCTTTAAATATTTTATGGACTTTAAATAATCAACCTTTGGTAAATGAAGATAATCAAGATATTTTAATCTCGAAATTGGGTAGACGTAGTAGTGTTTTAACCATAGAAAGTGTAAATGCCAAAAATGCGGGCAATTACACCTGTCAGGGTTCGAATAAGGCCGGCAAGGCTAGTTTTACCACACAATTAAAAGTTATAGGTATTTTGACAAAACTTTTTTTTAACAAAAAAAATAATTTTATTTAAAATTTCTTTAACAAATTTTATTTCTTTTTAAATTTTTATGTTTAATCCCTTAATTTTAGTTTTACCTCGCATTAGACCTTTTACCTTTGAGGAAGGTCCTGCTCAGACGGGCCAATATTTAACACTATACTGTTCAGCATCACTTGGTGATTTACCCCTAAATATAACTTGGCTCTTAAATGATCAAATTGTTGAAGAAGAAGAGGATAATGCTAATAGTATGGGTATCTCCACCATGATGGTGAATAAACGTACTAGTGTTTTGACTATAGATTCGGTAGATGATCATCATGCCGGGAATTATACTTGTCTAGCTCGTAATCGTGCTGGTTTTAATTCCTTTACAACGGAATTAAATGTTTATGGTTAGCTGTTAATCTTAAAAGATCATAGATTTATTAAAATACCTTAGTAGTTTATTAACTTTAATTACTAAACAAACGAAAACTTTTTTCTCTTTCTAATCTGCTAAAAAATACCAACTATTTACTGGACTGTCTTTTGGTTGCTGAATTTTTAATGGGTTATACTTTAAGCGTTTAGTCTTAAATGTAGTAGAAAATGCATGTTTTCATCAACAAAATTTGTTGCATGTCAGAGCACATAATTAAGTTCTTTTAACACACCCTTTACAGCTGCTTGATCAAATTTTGGGGCTTTTGAAACAAGATTATGAACTACTGGATTAATAATATGTAATCAAATTGGCAAATATCTACAATAAATTTCAATCTTACATATAACGCCTAAAAGTATGCTTAGTTTAATAAGGTTAACACTCGCCTGAGCTTATACTATCGCTTTCGTTTATCATTAAATAATACAGTAATTGAGATGAATGTAAATGGTTTAGTTCCAGTTCTAGTTTAGTTCAGTTCTAGTTTATTTCTAGTTCATTTCTAGTTTAGTTCTAGTTCAGTTCTAGTTCAGTTCTAGTTCAGTTCTCAGTTCTAGTCCAGTTCTAGTTCAGTTCTAGTTCAGTTCTAGTTCAGTTCTAGTTCAGTTCTAGTTCAGTTCTAGTTCAGTTCTAGTTCAGTTCTAGTTCAGTTCTAGTTCAATTCTAGTTCAGTTCTAGTTCAGTTCTAGTTCAGTTCTAGTTCAGTTCTAGTTCAGTTCTAGTTCAGTTCTAGTTCAGTTCTAGTTCAGTTCTAGTTCAGTTCTAGTTCAGTTCTAGTTCAGTTCTAGTTCAGTTCTAGTTCAGTTCTAGTTCAGTTCTAGTTCAGTTCTAGTTCAGTTCTAGTTCAGTTCTAGTTCAGTTCTAGTTCAGTTCTAGTTCAGTTCTAGTTCAGTTCTAGTTCAGTTCTAGTTCAGTTCTAGTTCAGTTCTAGTTCAGTTCTAGTTCAGTTCTAGTTCAGTTCTAGTTCAGTTCTAGTTCAGTTCTAGTTCAGTTCTAGTTCAGTTCTAGTTCAGTTCTAGTTCAGTTCTAGTTCAGTTCTAGTTCAGTTCTAGTTCAGTTCTAGTTCAGTTCTAGTTCAGTTCTAGTTCAGTTCTAGTTCAGTTCTAGTTCAGTTTAGTAGTCATTCTAGTTCAGTTCTAGTTCAGTCTAGTTCAGTTCTAGTTCAGTTCTATTTCAGTTGTAGTTCAGTTCTTGTTCAGTTCTAGTTCAGTTCCAGGTTAGTTGGTAGTTTAGACCTTAAGACCCAATGTTATTTGGAAATCAATGAAAATCAAATTTTTCACTCGAATTGAATTGTTATAAGACCATGGTTCCTGTATACATTTAAATCGATTTCTCTTTAAAAACTCGGCGATTATATATCTGCTTTGGATCAAAATACTCAAAACATATTTTTTTATTCAGTTAAAACCTTGTTTTTTATTCTATATTCTATTGCACCTCGCAAGTTTTGCCCAAATTGCTCCCTTCACATCCGGAGCTGAAGCCTTCTATCCCGGCGATTATAGTACCCTACAATGTTCCATAATACATGGAGATCATCCTTTGCTAGTGTATTGGTATTTTAATGATCAGAAACTTAATGAATCTTTGGCTCAACAAATGGGTATACAAATCTCAAAAATGGGTTCTAGAAGTTCTGCACTAACCATCGAATCGGTGCAGGGGCAACATGCTGGAAATTATACTTGTTATGGAAAAAATGCAGCAGGAGTAAGCAATTATACGGCGACGTTGATAGTAAATGGTATTAAGGATGTTTGAAAATGTTTTTGTTGATATAGGTTTACAGTTATTTTTTAAGTTTTTTGTTTGTTTTTATTTATATTTTTATTTGTTTTGTATACAATATTTTCTCTTTTTCTATCGTAAAGTTCCCCCCAAATTGACACCTTTACCCTCTAGTGTGGATAATCCTTTATTTTTGGGTGATTATTTTCAATTGAATTGTGCGGTTTTACATGGTGATTCCCCATATAATATCACCTGGTATTATAATGATGAATCGGTTAATAATATGCCGGGTATAACGGTAATGATGCATAGCAAACGTAGCAGTTCATTGAATATTGAAAGTGTTTTAGCGGAACATGCGGGCAAATATTCATGTATTGGTGCTAATCAGGCGGGTTATACAGAAGTTTCGACCAATTTAACCATAAGGGGTTGGTGGTTTTTTATAATTTTTTTTATTAAAAAAAAACTAAAGCAATGCATAATGTATGTTACACCTTAAATGTTTTAATTTTTAGATAATGGTAGCGGCTTAGTTTAAAAACGAAACACCTCAATGTTTAAATGCAAAAACTAGATTTTAAATAAAAATAATGGGGTTATGGCTTAACTAATTGTAAATGGCTTAAGGTTCATTTTAGGAAATAAGTACCAAGAAAATCAGTGTAAAATTTCAACATTTTAAAAAGAGTTTTTAAGAAATCTGTGTTTAACTATTAAAAAAAAAAATGGCGAATAATTTCACTAAAATCACTTTCATATTTCATTTTTTCGACACTTTAACTGTTATTAACTTTATAATTTATCCATCTCTGTGTTTTTTGAATGCATTTGTTTAACTCTAGAACTACCACAACTTGAACAATTTCAATTTAATCCTAACGGTGTTAATGGTGGTCAAGCGGTTCGTGTTATGTGTATGGTCACTTCGGGTGATTTACCCATAGATATCTATTGGCTTAAAGATGGCCAACCTTTGTTACGTTCTATATATCATAAAATCGATGAGTATACTTTAATTTTGTCACTGCGTCAAACGAATATAGGTGACTCGGGAAATTATACTTGTGTGGCCAGTAATAAGGCTGGAGAGGCCAGAAAATGGTCTACATTAAAAGTCAAGGGTAAAAACTATTGGAAAAAACCCCAAATTTTTGCAAAATGTTGTTTAATTTAGTAAAATTTTCAGTTCAATTTCCATTTTTTAATGTCTTAAATCCTTAATTAAACTTTAGCCACGAAAATGAGAATTTAAGTCTGGTTTTACAAAGGACTCAAGAATATTACTAATGATTCCTTTTTTCCTTTCCAAAATTCTCCCCCAAAAAGAACCCCCCAATTTGGCAAATCTCTCCGTGTCCTCAACTCTCAGCAATGTGGGTGATTATGTACAATTTACCTGCATAGTTACCAAGGGCGACTTACCCCTCCACATTGAATGGCTACTAAATGGCAAAGATATTATACAACAATTACCTTTTACCACAGTGGCCTCGGTGGGTTCTCATACCAGTCTGCTAATGATAAATAATGTTACGGCCCAACATGCTGGGCAATATTTGTGTCGGGCTGATAATCGTGCGGGTACTTTTAATCGTACGAAACGTTTGATAGTTAATGGTATGAGGATGGTTTTTTATGTCTTAGATTTCGTAAATAAATGGTTAAAGACAACCAAATGAATTCTAAAATTTTCTCAAAACTTTATTAAATCTGTTTTCCTTTAACTTTTTCCTCAAGTTTTTCTTAACTTTTTCTAATATTTTATAACTTTTTGAACTTTTTTTCTCAATTTTACAACAAATTTTTATAAAAACTAGTAATGAATTTGAGAACACCTAACCAGGTTGATGTAGTTCAGTTCAAGTTTAGTTCTAGTTCAGCTATAGTTCAATTCTAGTTCAGTTCTAGTTCAGTTCTAGTTCAGTTCTAGTTAAGTTCTAGTTCAGTTCTAATTCAGTTCTAGCTCAGTTCTAGTTCAGTTCTAGTTCAGTTCTAGTTCAGTTCTAGTTCAGTTCTAGTTCAGTTCTAGTTCAGTTCTAGTTCAGTTCTAGTTCAGTTCTAGTTCAGTTCTAGTTCAGTTCTAGTTCAGTTCTAGTTCAGTTCTAGTTCAGTTCTAGTTCAGTTCTAGTTCAGTTCTAGTTCAGTTCTAGTTCAGTTCTAGTTCAGTTCTAGTTCAGTTCTAGTTCAGTTCTAGTTCAGTTCTAGTTCAGTTCTAGTTCAGTTCTAGTTCAGTTCTAGTTCAGTTCTAGTTCAGTTCTAGTTCAGTTCTAGTTCATTCTAGTTCGTTCTAGTTCAGTTCTAGTTCAGTTCTAGTTCAGTTCTGTTAGTTCTAGTTCAGTTCTAGTTCACTTCTAGTTCAGTTCTAGTTCAGTTCTAGTTCAGTTCTAGTTCAGTTCTAGTTCAGTTCTAGTTCAGTTCTAGTTCAGTTCTAGTTCGTAGTTCAGTAGTTCAGTTCTAGTTCAGTTCTAGTTCAGTTCTAGTTCAGTTCTAGTTCAGTTCTAGTTCAGTTCTAGTTCAGTTCTAGTTCAGTTCTAGTTCAGTTCTAGTTCAGTTCTAGTTCAGTTCTAGTTCTGTTCTAGTTCTGTTCTAGTTCTGTTCTAGTTCTGTTCTAGTTCTGTTCTAGTTCTGTTCTAGTTCTGTTCTAGTTCTGTTCTAGTTCTGTTCTAGTTCTGTTCTAGTTCAGTTCTAGTTCTGTTCTAGTACTGTTCTAGTTCTAGTTCAGTTCTGGTTCAGTTCTAGTTCAGTTCTAGTTCAGTTCAGTTCTAGTTCAGTTCAGTTCTAGTTCAGTTCTAGTTCAGTTCTAGTTCAGTTCTAGTTCAGTTCTAGTTCAGTTCTAGTTCAGTTCTAGTTCAGTTCTAGTTCAGTTCTAGTTCAGTTCTAGTTCAGTTCTAGTTCAGTTCTAGTTCAGTTCTAGTTCAGTTCTAGTTCAGTTCTAGTTCAGTTCTAGTTCAGTTCTAGTTCAGTTCTAATTCAGTTCAGTTCAGTTCTAGTTCAGTTCTAGTTCAGTTCTAGTTCAGTTCTAGTTCAGTTCTAGTTCAGTTCTAGTTCAGTTCTAGTTCAGTTCTAGTTCAGTTCTAGTTCAGTTCTAGTTCAGTTCTAGTTCAGTTCTAGTTCAGTTCTAGTTCAGTTCTAGTTCAGTTCTAGTTCAGTTCTAGTTCAGTTCTAGTTCAGTTCTAGTTCAGTTCTAGTTCAGTTCTAGTTCTGTTCTGGTTCAGTTCTAGTTCAGTTCTA